CCCGATCGATAAATCACAGGGTGCACACCCCAGCACGACCACACCCCAGCACGACCACACCCCAGCACGACCACACCCCAGCACGACCCATCGACCGACCACCCCAGCACGACCACACCCCAGCACGCACCCCAGCACGACCCCACCCCAGCACGACCACGCCCCAGCACGACCACACCCCAGCACGACCACACCCCAGCACGACCACACCCCAGCACGACCCCACCCCAGCACGACCCCACCCAGCACGACCACCCCAGCACGACCACACCCCAGCACGACCACACCCCAGCACGACCCCACCCCAGCACGACCCCACCCCAGCAAGACCACACCCCAGCACGACCACACCCCAGCACGACCTCACCACAGCACGACCACACCCCAGCACGACCACGCCCCAGCACGACCACGCCCCAGCACGACCACGCCCCAGCACGACCACCCCCCAGCACGACCACCCCCCTAGCACGACCACCCCCCAGCACGACCACCCCCCAGCACGACCACACCCCAGCACGACCACACCCCAACACGACCATACTCCAGCACGACCACACCCCAGCACGACCACACCCAGTCGCACCCCCGTGGAATGTTTCGTGGGGTGTCTGGTTGAGTGGTTGCCTGTTCGTGGGGTGTCTCGTGGAATGTTTCACGGGGTGTCTCGTGGAATGTTACGTGAGGTGTCTCGTGGGTTGTTTCGTGAGGTGTCTCCTGGGATGTTTCGCGGGGTGTCTCGTGGGATGTTTCGTGAGGTGTCGCCCAGTTGGATATCGTGAAAACGTGACCATGCTGCACATGTCTATATCCCTTTCCGGGTTCGTGGGTCCATCATGTTCCCCAAAAAAACTCTCCCTGGGGTCGGCCCGTCCCGTCGGCCACCCGAAAGGGACCTCAACGACCGCAACAAATCCTCCAAGACGGCTCCAGATGGCCACGTTGGCCCAAGATGACCTCCAAGATGGCCTAAGGTGGCCTCCAAATCCGCCAAAGATGGTCCAAGATGGCCTCCAAGACGGCCCCAGAGGGTCCACGATGCCTTCAAGTTCGTCCAAAAAGCTTCCAAGACGGCCCAAGATGGCTCCAAGATGGCCTAAGACTGGCCAAGGGGCCTCCAAGAGGCCTCCAAGACGTCTTCCAGGAAGGCCCGAAAGGGCAAAATCATTGATTTCCTGAGGCTATTGAAGGATATTTGCATGTTTTTCGTTTCAGCTCTCCGAAAGCCCAAGACGGCCCAAGAGGCCCCCAGCATCGCCCCAAGAGCGCCCAAGAGGCCTCCAAGATGGCCCCATGACAGCCCAAGAGACCCCCAAGAGGGCCCCGTGACGGCCCCTAGAAGGCCCAAGATGGCCCCGACGATGCCTCCAAAACGGCCAAGATGGCCTCCAAGATGCCTCCAAGACGGCCAAGAAGGCCTCCAAGACAGCGAAGATGGCCCCAAGATGCACCCAAGACGGCTCCACGTGGTTTCAAGATGGCCTTAGACTGACCCAACGTCCCGCAAGAGGCCTCCAAGGTGGCCCAGGAGTCCTCCCAGACGTCCTCCAGGAAGGCCCGAAAAGGGCCGAAACCATGTACTGCCTCTACGTAGTTATAGGATTGTGACATTTGCTTCTTTTCAGCTCTCCGACGGCCTCAAGACGGCCCAAGCGGCCGCCAAGATGCTCCAAGATCGCCAAAGAGCCCTCCAAGTTGGCCCCATGACAGCCCAAGAAGCCCCCAAGACGGCCCCAAAAAGGCCCCAAGACGACCGAAGAGGCCTCCAAGGCGCCTAGATTGCCTCGAAGACGGCTCTGAAACGTCCCATGATGGCACGAAGGCGGCTCCGAGAGGCCTCATAGACGGCTGTCGACGGCGTCAGATGAGCCAGGAACGCCCTAAGACCGACCAAAGAAGCCCTCAAAGAGCCCCCAGATGTCCCCAAGAAGCCCAAGGAGGTCTGCCAAGAGGCCTTCCAAAGGTCCCCAGGAAGCTCCAAGAAAGCACCAAGAGCCCAAGAGTGCCCCAAGAAGCTGTTCCCCTCTCCTTCTCATCCTCTGTTCCCCCAAGTGTTCCTTGAAGGTGTCGAGGCAAGATTCGGGGAACACATTGTCCGATGGCTTGGTCAAGCTCCGCCTCCAACCAAGCCTGAGATGCACCCAAGACGGCTCCATATGGCCTCAAGATGGCCTTAGACTGCCCAAAAAGCCCGCCAGAGGCCTCCATGACGGTCCGAGAGCCCTCCAAGACGTCCTCCAAGAAACCCGAAAGCTCGGGAAACCACCTGGTCACTCGCCCGACTCCGTGTTCCGTTCCCCGAAAGCTTTCGAAACCCACTCGGGGAACGCGTGGCCCGATAGCTTGGCCAAGCTCAAACCCAACTTTCGGCCAGGCAGGCGCTTCCAAAAAAGCAGGGGGCGGCGGTGATTCGCCGTAGGCGTCTTCGATCCGCCGCCCCGTGGTCTTGCCACAAGGGTGCCTGACGTGCTGGACTTCTTACGATTTGGTTATACAAGTTCTCTTCCAAAAGAACTCTCCCCTGAGGCTTCGGCCCGTCTAGCCGGCCACCCGAAATTGACTGCAATCGCGTACAACGTCCTCAAAAAGTTGTCCAAGACGGCCCAAGATGGCCTCCGAGACGGCCAAGATGGCCCCATATGGCCGCCAAGATACCTCCAAGACGGCCAAGATGGCCTCCAAGACAGCTAAGATGGCCCCAAGATGCGTCCCAGACGGCCCAAGATGCACCCAAGACGGCCTAAGATAGCCTCAGGATGGCCCAAGACGGCCCAAGAGGCCGCCGAGAGGCCTCCAAGACGGCCCCAGAGGCCTCCAAGAGGTCCCTCAGGAAGGCTCGAAGAGGCCAAAATCAATGTTCCTAAGGTTTTTGACGGATTTTGTGATTTGCGCCTTTTCAGCCTTCAGACGGCCCAAGAAGCCCCCAAGGTATCCCCAAGATCGCCCAAGACGCCTCCAAGATAGCCCCATGGCGGCCCGAGAGGCCCCCAAGACGGCCCCAAAAGGGCCCCAAGACGGTCCAAGAGGCCGCCCAAGATGGTCTCCTAGACGGCCCTGAAGCACCCGAAGAGGGCCCCAGGACAGTTCAGAGAGGCCCCCAAGAGGCCTCCAAGATGTCCCCAAAACAACCCAAGCCAAGAGGCCCCCAAGACGGCCCCAAGAAGAACCCCAGACGCCCCCGAGAAGCCCCCAAAGGCCCCCCAAGAGGCCCAAGGAGGCCCCCGAGATGCCTCCAAGGGGCTCCCAGGAAGCTCCCAGGAGGCCTCAAGAGTGCCCCCAGAGGCTCCCAAGATGCCCCCTCCTCAGTAGCCACGCTCTGACGTCGCAGTGGTGTTGGCGGCATACAAAGCCGTGCCGTGGAGTAGTATTGCGATAGACAGAGCTGACCACAACTGAGTGGGGCCAGCTCCACTACCAAGTAAAAGGCAGGATGATGGCCATGGGATGATAGGTTGGAAGAAAAATGTAAGATGGGGTATTTTCCAGGGTCAGTGATCAGGTCCCGTCTTAGATGCAATAGTGAACTGCCGAATCTACAAGCAGCCCAGGCAGGCAAATAGGACGCCGGCGCATTGAACCAGACGCCAGCAGGATGCTCGCTAGACCACTAGGCTCGCTATATACATATCCCAGCCCTCTGAGCCTATTTCAAAGGTGGGCCGCCCCTGGGGGTCCCTGGAGACAAAAAAACCTGGCAAGGTCCCGGCAAGGTGGGCTCAGTGATGATAGAACTCCCTGGGGCAGTCTTTCAGACCCCGAGAGGCCCAAGATAAGATGGCCTCCAGTCGGCAGAAAAAACGTCCAAGACGTCCCCAGAGGCCTCCAAGAGCCTTCCAAAGGGTGCCCCGAGAAGCCAAAATCATGAACATCCCTGCGAGTTTTTCAATATAGTGGGGATTCTCCACTTTTCGAGCTTCCGACGCTAGAAGACCTCCAAAGTGGCCCCCGGGACCGCCCCACGATCGCCCTGAAAGCCCCCAAGTGGGCCCCGAGAGGGCCCAAGAGGCGCCCAAGACGGCCCAAGAGAGCCCCAAGACGGCCCGGCCCAAGAGGGGCCCAAAAGGGAACACGAACCGAACATCCGAGCCTCCACGCCCGATGGGGCATCCAGGAGGCCTCAAGATGCCCCCAAAAGGCCCCCACGAGGAGTCACGAGGCCCAGAGAGGCTCCAAAACAGCCCCCACAGGCCTCTGACCTGCCTCCAGGAGGACCCCGACAAGCCTCGACGACATCCCGACGAACATCCAAGAGGCCTCAGACGCACCACCAAGGCACGGCGGCGGGATCGGCCGAAGGCCATTGGGTAAGGGCCGGCGGAATGGGCGACGCGATCCGCCGCCGCCTCAGGTATGGCGTGCGAGATCCACCGCATGGTCTGCAAGAGATTCTTTCTGTAGCTCCTCTCATCAACACGCTCTTTATACCAGTCCCTGCCTCTGACCCCTCGCCACTCCTTCTATAGGGTCCTCCCCGCGGCCCGCTCATTCCGCAGACACGAGAGCCTGGGCTTCGGCTGGAGCGCCCTCTGGCCGACACCTCCTTCCCGAAAGGTCCCCTCCTTCACGTGCTGAGCTTCTGGGCGCCACCAGGCCCTCTCAGAGATCTCTCCAGGAGCCTACTGGGCCGCCTTGGTGGCTTCTCTGGGCCGTTCCTGGGATGACCTTGACCGTCCTTCAGGCCACGTTGGGCCGTCCCGGATGCCTCTCATACTGTGGTCGAATCGCAGATTCCAGAATACACCGTCTTGCGGCAGTTCTAGACATGTTATGGGGTCTTCCTGAGTTACTGCGAAAGCAAAACGCAAGGCTGCACGTGATAACGAGGAGTCTCGAATGACGTGGGATAACGCCATGCAGCAGGAGTGTGGTGGGATGCAGGGGAGAGTAGACGAATCTCAGGTCGCAGGCGAGTATCAAGCGTGTTGCGTCAACATGCCACGAAACTCAAAGCCCCTCTCCATTAGTCACTCGGTGCCCGGCAGCACATTGCACAAGTGGGCCTTCCACCGCCTGGCCCGCAGGCGCTGCAGGGAGCGCCCCGAAGGTGACGCCGATGTCCTCAGCACGCACGCAAACAAGACCATGGAGCGCAACTCCAGGGTCGCGATCCCGGGCCCGACACTGGAGGCCTCCCAATTGGGTCCGAGTGGTAGATCGCGCTGCATCGCTGATGCATCGCCAATGCATCGGCGATGCATCGGCGACGTGGGCGCGGAGAAAGTTGGGCTCCACATCGAGCTGCATCGCCGATGCGTCGGCGAAACCTGTAGACAGATAAGCCCATCCCAAGATCATATCCGCGACCGCTGGGGAAAAAACAGCACCTGGCCGATACCAAGGAAACCAACATGTACCGATACCGCTGCTCCCCAGACCTCTCCCGAAGTGCGTTAGGACCAGAATTTCGACGCGATGCCAGCGGTGGCGATGGCCTCCCAGGAGGCCCCAAAAAGGCGAAAACGATGCAAGGGTAGCGGCACCGGTACCACAGATCACCCCATCCCAGGATCATGTCCACGACCGCTGTGGAAAAACAGCACCACCTGGCCGACACTGGAAAAACAACTGAGTACCGATACCGCTATTCCCTTGATCACTCCCGGGGTGCGTTCTGGCTCGAATTTCAACGCGAATCCAACGGTGGCGACGAGGGCATCCCTGGAGGCCCAGGAAAGGCAAAAACGAGGGAACCGTAGCGGTATCGGTACCTGTTCCTCCTCTGAGGGTCGCGAGCACGGGCCCGACACAGATCACTACCACGACCCATGTCTGCGACCGGGGCGGAAACGACAGCACCACTCGGCCGACACAGGACGCCCAGCTGATAAGCAATGAGAGCGTCCCTAACCCCTGCCTCTTTGGGGGGTGAACGAGGTCAGGAAGGCCAAAACAATTGGGGACAGAGGGTGTCTTCTGCAGATGCAGCAGACCAAACCGCCCGGAACTATGACCCCGAATGCGAAGACTGGGACCTCGGCGAGGCCACGTCCCCATCGCCCCATGAGGCTCAGGGGCTCTGCCCGCCACCGCTCGGCCGCCCCCTCCCCGCGCGTGCCTCGCCCGACGAGCCACTGCTGCTCCTCCGGGGCCCACGCCGAAGCAGGAGAGCTTCACACGCCCCGAGCGGTGCCGCGCCGCCCCGCTCGTCGACGGCCCGCCGCCCCGCGCGAGGCCGGGCGACCGCCGCGCGCCGCGCGGAGGGGGGCCGCGCTGGGCCGCCCGCGGTGGCCGCGGCGGCCGCGCCCGCCGGGCAGAGAGGAGGAGGTCCGGGCTCCTGGCGCCGCGCCCCCGGGGGCGGCCCCGCGCCCCCGCCGCCCCCTGCAGGCCCCCGAACCCCCCGCGGCCCGTGGCGCTCGCCGCGCCTGCCCTCCGCGGCTCCCCTCCCCGCTCCCGTCCCGCCCCCTCTCGTCTCCTGGTGCCGCCCCCTGTCCGTCCTGCCCCTGCCATGCCCCTTCCCTCCGCCTCCCCCCCCCCCCCCCAGGCGCCTTCCCCTTCTGCCCCCTCGCCCCGCACACTGACCTGACCCCCCGTGCCTTCGTCTCCACTTCCCTCCCCTCTCCAGTCGCCCCCCCGGGCCTTCCGCTCCTGCAGTTGGTTCGAGCATGCTGTGTACAGTACCCATGCGCATGCTCGCTACACTCTCCTGTTCCATCAGGACCTTCTACCACGATCTGAGCTCTGCCACTCGCCTCCTCACACCTACCTCTGAGCTCGCTCCTGGAACCTTTACGATATACCACTCCTGCCCGCCTCCCAAAATCATCACCCAAAGACGCACCGCTTCGTCCCTTCCAATCCTTCTCCCTCTCACCACTGGTCGAAACAAACCCCTGGCTGCACAATTGCGAAAGGGCGCGATGTATCGTGAGCCATCCGTCTGAACACAAGGTGTTGTTTCTTCATCGTTCTGTCCCTTCGATGTACTAAACCTTACTCCACAGACGATAACAGCCTTTTAATTCAGAATGGTTGGCCTGGGTACTGTGTTGTTTTTGTTCCGCACGCGCGCTTATCCTAAAAAACAAACAATAGCACGCAAATCAGGCTGGTATCGACCACCACCACCACCACACAGCAAGATCCTGTAAAAACTACAATGCGGTGTTCAGGCGTTGCTATAAGTGGTTCAAGATACGATGCAGGGCACATGCGCGCGCCGCCGCGCGCGCATGCCAGAGCCATTCAAAAAGCAGTGGTGCTCTAACAGGTTCAACGCCTACGTATCCGAAACCTGTGTTCCAGAATTCTGCGGGCGCACTCGTTTGCATCACGAGGAATCCATGCGTTCAGCGACTCTGTCAAAATCGTGCGGGGGCCGCTCGCGCGCGCATGCCGAAGACGTTCAACCCCACCTCCGCGCGCGCCCGCCGACTCGGTCAAATGATACCATGCAGGCCACACGCGCACATCTCCGCGCGCGCACGCAGGTCAAAATCATGTCAGAATACATAGTTGTTCGACCATTTCAACACAGAGGTGTCAAACAACATGCGACAACCCAGTGGTGTTCAAACAACTGTGTCCAGACGTCTGGGCATCTGCGGGCGCGCGCATCCTCATCACCGTTGTCAACACAATCGTTATCATCTTCGTCAACATCATCACGGCCATCGTCTGCATCGCCGTCATCATCACCACCACCGTCATGATCATCATCGCCGCTGTCGTCGCCCTCGTCAAAGTTCTGTCCGCGGGCATCCCCTCATCATCCTCACCAACATAATCGTCATCACCATCGCGAATGTCACCATTCTCACCGTCATGATTATCACCATCAACTTCATCACAATCACCATCGTCGTCGCATGCATCCACTGTTACCGCCATCGGCATCAGCGTCATCACAACTGTCACCTCTGTCGCCGATGGCGTCGCGGCCACCACATGATGACGACAGCGATGCCAACGATTGTGGTGGCGGTGGTGGCGTCCACCATAGCCACCACCATTTCGCGACCTGCAGGGCGGAGTTGTCTGCGCGGTTGACTTCCACGCGTCCGTGCGATCGTTGAGATCATAGCCAGATGGCTTTTGCCGACAAGTTGCGGGTGGGAGGGTGGGATGTGTGCACGAGTGATGGAGTTAACGACTTCAAATTCTTAATACTTGCTTCTTCATTCTGGACACGTAACAGACTTCACCCCTCACCAGTTTCCACCAAAAAGCATACCATCCCAAATCATCCTAATATATTCCCCCCCGCCCCTGCCAAATAAGTCGGTACAGTGCACATGCGATGATCTAGGAAGCGTGTTCGCAAATGATCACTTTCAAAAATGCAGTATGGGCCACAAGCGCGCGCCGCCGCGCGCGCACGTCAAACTTCATACAAAAACATGGCTTCGTTTTCAGCAACTTCACACAACAGCGGGTACGCAACCACAAACAATTCAGAAACCAGGCCTCGTCGGCGAACAACTTGCCAGAAGTCTGTGTGCGCACATTCGCTGAAGTTCCCGAAGAGTCATAGGCATAGGTGTTGAGCCATTCTGTGGAACCAGACCATGCGGGCCTCGTGCGCGCGCATCTCGAAAACATTCGACCACCAGCAAGTGCCCATCAATTATGTCAACTAATGCAACGCGGGCCCCACGCGCGCATCCGCCGCGCGAGCACGCTGCAACGACTCCAAAAGCACTGGTGTCCAAACCACTTCAACACAAAGTTGTTCAATAAATACGAAGCCCGAATGATGCTCGACGAGAACATGTCAAATGTTTGGGGCGCGTACTGTCTCATCAGGCTCATCAGCACAACCGTTACCATCGACGTCAGCGTCGCCATTGCCAGCGTCAACACCATCACCATCGCCGGGATCGTCGCCGCGGCCGTCATCGTCGTCCTCGACGACGGCGTCGCCCTCGTGAAATGCCTGCGCGCGGGCACTTTACCACCATCATCACGAGTACCATCGTCATCATCATCGCCAGAGTCATCGTTGCCTCCTCGTTCTCATCACCATCAACATCGTGGTTGCCGTCGACATCGTCTTCACTGTCGTCATCAGTATCATCAGCGTAATTGTTATCGCCGCCGTCGCCGACCTGTTAAGTGTTTCCGAGAATTTGCAGGTTGGTAGGGTGTTTGCACAAGCAGCGGTCAAGATTTGCAAACGAAAAAGAAAAACAGATTGCACATCGTAGGTTGCACCACGTATCATGCACAACGAGTGCGAGAATTCACTGTCAGGGGTCTAGGAAGGGGGGGGGAATCTGCGCACAACACTGCCGCAACAAAAGGCTACGCTGCATCGTCGGCTTCGGGGATCTTCTGACCCGGGTCAATCCAGACCCGGGTCAGTCAGGCCTTAAAGAATCCTGCAGGATCCTGCACCCAGACCGGGGTCAACGCGAAAAATCCTGCAAAACCTTGCAAGATCCTGCACCCAAATCCGGGTCAATGCGCCCCTGGCCCTGCAGGATCCTGCAAGATCTGGCGCTCTGGCTGACCCCCGTCTGCATTGACCCCCGTCTCAAGGCTCCCGACGGCTCACAAGTCGTGCCCGCCCGGTCTGCCAACGGCCCGCCCGTCCTGGGAGTCGACCCGAGCGCACACGCGTCCCCCCTCAGCAAAGTTGCGGTCCTGAGCAGGCCAGGCGCGCGCTGGCGGGCGCTACACTCAAAAGAGGGCCTCAAGAGGAGGGAGGAGGGAGGAAGGAGGAGCCCCTCTGCCGAAGGCCCACACAGAGCCCTTCGTGGAGACAGCCGACACGAAGGGCCCTCCAGGGCGGAAAGCCCGAAGACGAGGAGCCCAAAGGTATATCCCTCCAAAACTGGGGCAATTCTCATCGTCGTGCCAAGCGTGTTAGCAGCCTGCATGAAGCGGGCAGCCTGCGTCTTCACTCCGTGCCCCTGGCGGTCGGAAAGACCTCGACGCGGCTCGACGCTCTGAGCGGGAGGCGCCCAGGAGGGGCGGAAGCGAGAGCGGGAGAGCGCAGCCCAGCCTTCACAGTGCGAGGATCAAGGACACGAGCCCCTTCCGCCGAAGGCCAATGAGGGGTTCCACTGGGATACCAGAAACGAACACACATTGTAAGGTGGGGATGGATGGAGGGGTGGGGGCAACGAGCAACGGCGAAGAACATAAAGGGCATACCTCGGAAACCAAGGCTGATCTTGGCCGTCGCGCGCGAGCTGTCAACCAGGCCCGATGCTCAGACACGCTCGGTCGACGCTGAAGTGGAAGCGTCAGTGACGTCTGGCTCTGGCCATACAGGCCACGGAAAAAAAATAGCGAACGCTCATGCCACACTCATCTGTCGACGCCTCCCCCTACCTCCAATGTTCACAGTAGGCGGCGGGTATGAAGAGTTGCACCTCGGCCGCAGTCTCCCCCGCGCGTGCCAAGTTTGAATGCGTGGCGGCAGGGGAATGTTCGGAATGAGTGGCGACCCGAATCACCCGCGCACCCACCGCACCAAACCTTACATGTTCGGAATTGCTGCCTGGGGCCTGCGGCCCGACGCCCACCGTCGGCCGCGCCTGCCCCAAGCGAGGCCCCCGGAAATTTACAGCGGGAGCCAGTCCACAAGAAACCTTCCACAAGAAACCCAACCCTGAGACCCCAGGACGTCCATGGACTTTTGGCGTGGGCACGTCACGCGTTCCATCGCAAAGCCATCTGAACCCAAGAAACCCAGGGCACCCTGGAGGCAAGCAGGGTGTTTCTTGGCATGGGCCCCCACTGTACAGAAAAAGCAGCCGCCAAACGGCGGCCAGAACCGTTTGTTGTGACAAAAATTATGAAGCCAACAAAGACGGCTTCAAACGTCAATGTTTTATCCGCCGACCCCTGGGGCGTGTGCGATCAAACCTGTATCCTTTCACCTCTGCCCCCGGGAAGCTCGCAGGAGGCCCCAGGAATGACCCCAGAAGCTCCCAAGAGGTTTCCTCATGCTTCTCCTCATCCTCCTTTCTCCTCCCTCTCCTCATCCTCCTCCTCCCCCCCCCAGGTTCCCAGAAGACCTTCCACAACACCTGAGGGAATTCATGGTCCAATAGCATGGCCAAACGTTGCTCCGAATGATTGGCCACATATGCGTATCCTGGAAGGCAGGGGGCGGCGGGGATTCGTGGTAGGCGCCTTGGATACCCGAGCCCTTTCCAAACCCTAAAACGGTCCTTACTCTCAACACGATTGTCTGCAGTACTGGCATGAAATTGGAGAGCGCTGGTGGGAACCAGTCCTGGTTCGCCAGGCTGTCCGTTGTACAAGCTCCTCATCCTGAGTCATGTTTCAGAGGCCGCCCAGATGGGGTCCGAGTAGACGGGGTCGGAGGATCTCGCCGCATCGGCGCCGTCGGCGTTGAGAACATCGGGCTGCACATCGAGCCGCATCGCCGATGCATTGCGCCATGGCCACGACGGGGCCTCCCGCAGGTCCACTGACTCCTTGCCCCGATGGGCCCTCCCCCGGTCCAGGTCATCAGACCCCTCTCCCCCCGTGCTTTTGGACGCAGGCCGCGGCGGCGTGGACAGCGAATCCTGTTCAAACTGAGCAGGAACTGCTGTTGGGCATGGTACCCATTCTTTCCGTACCCATTTCGGGCGTCCAGATCCCCCCGTGCTGAAGAAGACTCCCCCAGAGGGTTGCAGGTTCAAATTCCTAGAACGTGCATGTAAATGTGATTACGTTCTAGGTTCTAGGTTCTAGGTTCTAGTTTATACGTTCTTCTATTATGTGGTTATATGCCTTTTATATATCATAGTTTGCGTGATATCACTATATACCGTTGCCGCGTTGAGAAGTTTAGGAAACACACAGGGGTGCCGCCAATTTGGTTGCGTATCGGGCCTTCTCAAGCGTTTGTTAAGGTCCTCGAACCGTCGGTTTGCAACGAGGTCAGTGATAGAGGAGAGCGAAAGAGGAGAGAAGAGCAGGAGAGAGAGAAAGAGAGAGAGAGAGAGAGAATACGTGTGTGCGTGTGTGAGAGAGAGGGGGAAAAAAAAAAACAACACAAAGGGATCGAGAGGAGGCAGTTGTTGCTCACCGCCGCTCGATCGAGCGCGCCACGCGTGGCACGCGCGAGGTCTAGGCCTGGCCTCTCTTGGCCTATCCCGGCCTCCTCGCCTCTGTTGGCCTCTCCTGGCCGCATCTCCTGCGGCCTCCTTGGCCCCCTGCCTCCTAGCCTCTTCTGGCCTCTCCTGGCCTCTCCTGGCCTCTCTTGGCCTCTTCCTGGCCTCTCCTGGCCTCTTCCTGGCCACTCCTGGCCTCTCTCCTGGCTTGTCGTTCTGGCCTCTCCTGGCCTCTCTCCTGGCCTCTCTCCTGGCATCTCTCCTGGCCTCTCCTCTGGCCTCTCCTGGCCTGGCCTCTCCTGGCCTGGCCTCTCCTGGCCTCTCCTGGCCTCTCGTGGCCTCACGGCCCGTTCGGGCTTGGCCTGTCCTCGAAGCCCTCGAATGCAGCCCTGCTGCGCGCGATCGCGTCGAGACCAGCCTGCCTCGCCTGATCGACGATCGCTTCGAACTCCGCCGCCGCATGGTTGAACCCCTCATCAATCAAGCGCTGCTCCACCTGGTGCCTCTGTGCGGGCGGCAGCGTCCTGACGAGCCGCGTCACCTCCGCGTCCATGCAGTCCTATATCTGGGATTTGGAACACCTCCACGTCCTCCCTCGCCACCCTCTCCACCTAACTGCCCCGTTCTCCTTCCTCCGATTCGTAAACCCCCCACCCTCCCTCCCCCATCGGTCCTTGAGCGAAGTCCCGAAGGGATAGCACGCTCGAATCTCGTCCTGCCAGTGCGCGATCGAGGCCACCATGAACGCTGGCACCATCGTCAGCGCTCTGTTGACTTCGAAGCGCTGCGCGGCGCGGACCTCCCGCTCACGAGGGCTTTGTGGGACGCTCTCGGTGGGGCCTCCTAGGGCCCTGAAGTCTTCCTTCAGCAGGAGAAGTTCCTTGGGGTGCCCCCATCCCCCCGTCATCGCATCCCGCGCGAATGAGATGATCGCCCCCCCTCCTGCGGCTTCGAAGCCTACTCGGATTACGCCAACATCGGGCCCGAAGACGGCCCTCAGCGGGGCCGATGGGACTAAACGTGGGAGGAGGTAGGGGGAGAACGGGATCGAGTAGGAGTGGAATCGTTATATAGGAGCCAGAGTATGGGAAGGACTTTGGACCCAGTGGGTCCTCTTCGGCCAAGGGCCTCCACTGAGCCCTGTTCCTCGCTGAGAAGATGTCCAGCACGATCCAGCGCATCGTGAATATGCAGAAGCTGATCTCTGCGAAAGGGGACTCGTCGCTGGATTCGTCCATCTCCCAATCCACGTTATCCTGCCTCTGCCCCTCCTCTGATCTGGCGGATCGCGAAACCGCTCGAGCCAGGAGCGGCGTCGGCGGTGCAAGGGAGGGAAACAACATGCAGTCTCCTCGCTCATCGCTCCGCCCCTCTAGACTTTCTGGCAGTTCTTATCTCAGTACCGCTCTCTCAAATCTCTCACTCTCCCTCCTCTATCTCTAAAACTCTCTCTATATATAGTCCTCCCTTTCTCTCCTTTTAGAGGGTATCTTCTCTCGCTCTCTCTCTCTCTCTCTCTCAATCTCTCTCTCTCTCTCTCTCTCTCTATATTTCTCTCTCTCTCTCTCCACCTCTCTCTCACTCAGGTTTCAATCTCGGCAGGCTCCCTTGACTTGCCGCCTCGCCAGTTCAGCGAGCCCTCCTCCTCTCGAGTGCGGGGGGTGGCGGGAAAAAAAGAGCGGAGGAGCCAGACGTGGAGGGTTCGGATGAGGAGAAAGATGAGGAACCTGACGGAGCTCGAGGGGCGGGTGAGGAGAGCACACCTTTCCTTGGCCGCGGCGACGCCACGCGCAAGTACGTCGCATGGCTGCGCGGGCATGGGCTCTCTCAGCTCGCCCGTGTCGCCTCGGCTCGTCCTCACCCTCCTCGCTTGGCCTCCTCGCCTCGCCTCTCGCCGCGCCTCCTCGCCTACTCGCCTCTTCGCCTCTCCTTTCCTCCTCTAGGCGGGCTCATCCCTCCTGTCGGGCCAGCATGAGCTCGAGCTTGATCCCCACCAGCCCTGGCGCTGTGAGGAGTCCTTTGCCCACCAGCCCTGGCGCTGTGAGTCCTTTGCCCACCAGCCCTGGCCCTGCGATTCCCAGCTGGGCACCCTGGTCGTCCAGTCCTCCTCCCGCGGCTTATCCTTGCACGGCATTGCTTTAGCTGGTGCCCCCGTGTCGTCTATGGCTTCTGGCTCTTCGAGGTCGTTCTTCTCTGCCTCCTTGCGCTCTTTCGCCTGCTCCGGCTCTTTCTTGCGTTTCTTCTTCCCCCTATCTTTCTCATCTGCCACTTCGCGCCCTGCTGCCTCCACCTGCTCAGCTGGCTGCGTGGCGATATCGATCTCCTTCTCGGGATCCACTGGAAGGCGCAGAATTTCCTCGTCCTCCTCCACTGACTTGATCGACCGCCCCCCTCTTTTCTCTTGCTCACGGGTTCTCTTCGCGCTCTTCATCGCAGGGAACACGAAATTGTCATGATAGAGCTCATCCAATCGTCGACCGAACTCCCGAATTAAACCGAACATCTCATCAACTCCAGGCTTTCCCGCGTGCGACGCGATGATCTCTAATAAGACCTTTTCCTTCAAGA